TTTTTCAAATTGTTACTTGTTATTAAAAAAAATGTATCAATTTAAGCTATTTTCAAGCGATTTGAGTGCCGCATATGTCAAATGTCCATTTTAAACAGCTCTCAATAGAAAAAATAGTATAAGAAACACGTGTTTTTTTAATTTGTTGGAGTGGCACTAAAATCAATATTTTTTATTCTCAAAAAATGTTAAGTTAATAAAATTAGTATTACTTTACCATTCTAACAAATTAAGCATTGAAAAAAACGGATAATTTTGGAAGTTAAACCGGAATTTCAGCTTTTTCGATGTAGAGATATGACCTTTCTCAGGTTGGCAACAAATTTAATATCCCATTACAACAACCTTGATTTATTGACAAGATTAAATTATTGACAGCTATCCCTTGGAAATGACTGACAATTTCCTATAACAGTGACATTTGTATTTGACAATCAAGGTTGCCAAACTAACAATTTTTCAAATCGTTACTTGTTATTAAAAAAAATATATATCAATTTGAGCTATTTTCAAGCGATTTGAGTGCCGCATATGTCATGTCCATTTTAAACAGCTCTCAATAGAAAAAATAGTATAAGAAACACGTGTTTTTTTAGTTTCTTGAAGTGGCATTAAAATCAAAATKTTTTATTCTCAAATAAAATTAGTGTTACTTTACCATTCTAGCAAATTAAGCATTAAAAAAAACGCGTAAACAATTTTGGAAGTCAAACCGGAATTTCAGCTTTTTCGATGTAGAGATATGACGTTTCTCAGGTTGGCAAYAAATTTAATATCCTATTACAACAACCTTGATTTATTGACAAGATTAAATTATTGACGGYTACCCCTTGGAAATGACTGACAATTTCCTATAAAAAATGTGACGTTTGTATTTGACAATCAAGGTTGCCAAACTAACAATTTAAAAAAATATATATAATTTGGGCTATTTTCAAGCGATTTGAGTGCCGCATATGTCAAATGTCCATTTTAAACATCTCTCAGTAGAAAAAATAGTATAAGGAACACGTGTTACAATCTCGGTAGCGACTCTTGTGGACGTCGTCCTATTTTGGGAGTACTATTAGTTGTTTAATGTACACTTTTCGATGTGTTCTTTTTTACTTTCTCGTGTCTTCCTAACATTATAATCAGTATTGACTAATGTACTCAAACTTGTGACAATACAGTTCTATTCATAAAGTCTACTTTTAATAAATTCAGTAGTGCAGAGTTTACAATAGCGTTTTCAATAATATGTTTTAATGATAGTAAAATATACAAGAAAGCAAACGTTCATCACCCGATGGACACACGTTTACTTCATTGAACTTGCATTGCAAATTATCAAGCTCTTCACTGAAGAAGTCATGACATATTTTTTACCCGAAAACTGAAAGCAATTTGAGTATTATTTCGTGAGCTCGATTTGAGCAGTGTTAAATTCAAACAAGTAAACGAATGTTGTTAATAATTGTTAATAGTTGTTTATTTATTTATAAATAATTCTTTGCAAAAATGACACTAGTACATCACATAAGTTTACTAGGAATATTTGTACGACTGTGATTTTGCAAAGAACGCAAAAGGCCTACTTTTTGTCTCATAAAGTGATCGTGTGTAATTGGAGAAATATTTTTATAAGACATATTTATCTATCTTTCAAGCAGAAACTTATGTATGAAAAGAATAACTCGGCAATTTTAAGTATTTTTATTATGTACATAGTGCAAAAGTGTAAGGGTTATATCCACTCGAAAAATAACACTTCTTTATATAATTATTTTACTTGTTATAAAGTAAGACTTGTAAACAGTATTAATTTTCGAAGTAGACTGTTTAATGTTAATAATATCCTCTATTGAAGATTACACCACACTGTGTTAATAAAAATGTATTCGCAGCTCTGAACTTTCACTTATCCTCGCTTTTTTTCACAAAAATAATACAGGGTGCGCCAGAAAAAAATGCCATGTAAGATACCAGGAACACGGAAAAAATGTTAAAAAAAATTCTATCTATACAAATTTCGAAGTTATGAGAGTTTAAATTTTGCACTTTGACTCCATGTATTTCGTTTAGATGAAAGATGCATTTAGACTTCGACAACCCACTTGATGCACATTAATATAAAAAAGAGTATATTTCTGTTGGAAAAATAATTTTCAAGTTTTTTATTAGAAAAAGAATCAAAAAAGCTTTATCCAAAACTGGAACTCTGTTTAATGTTAAAAATTGTTGTATTTTTATAACATAATTATAAAAAAAACATTACAAGTTCAACAGTATCATAAAAAATGTCAAATGTCAGAAAATAAATGTCAAAATTTTTTGATAGATAGAATTTCTTGTTAATCTTTTCCAAAAAATTTTGAAAAATTTTGTTGAAACAGACCAACAAGTTACAAAAAAAATCCTGTCTAAACATTAAAAAAAATTGAAATTGATTTTATTTTGACTATTTTTCTCGATTTAACTTAATTTTGAGCAAAATTAAACTATAAAAACACAAAATTTGCTCAAAAATGCTTGGTTTCTTTACAACAAAAAGAATTTTTTTAAAACACATCAAAAAAAACAACAAATTAAGTCGAAAATTATATTTTTTCAATTTTTGATTGCTTTAACAGGTTTTTCGACAAGAAACGCAATTATTTCGCAAAATTGTGTTAAAAGTAAGTCAAAAATGTAACAAAATAGGCAAAAAATGGTATCATCAGGTGTTTAAGCACGTTTTTAAGATAAAACCGAAAAAGTCTCATAAAATTTCGTTAAACAAGCTAAAAAATTACAAAATTAAATCAAAATTAATGTTATTTTGTATCCTAAATTGAAATTGTGTTTAATGTTATTTATTGTGGSTTTTATTGGCAAAATTTTTGTACCTTTACTAAATAATTATAATAAAACATATACAAGATCATCAGTATCAGTATTAAATAGATATAAAAAAAAATGTCAAATGTCAGAAAATAAATGTCAAATTTTTTTGACAGAAAGAATTTTTTCCAATTTTTTTTTAAAAACAAAAACAGACCAAAACATTGAAAAAAAAATGATTTTGTTTTGATTATTTTTTTTGATTGTTTTAGTAGGTTTTTCGACAAGAAACGCAATTATTTCGCAAAATTTGGTTAAAAGTAAGTCAAAAATTTAACAAAATAGGCAATAAATGATGTCATTTGTGCCTTTTGCAAGTGTTTAAGCACGTTTTTAAGATAAAACCAAAAAAGTCTCATAAAATTTCGTTTAAACAAGCTAAAAAATTATAAAATGTCAAATGTCAAATTTTTTGACAGACAGAATTTTTTTAACATTTTTTCCAAAATATTGTTGAAACAGAAAAAAAAATTAATTGATTTTTTTTGATCATTTCTCTCGATTTAACTTAACTTTGAGTAAAATTAAGCCAGAAAAACACTTGTGTTTTTCTTACAAGAATCACAAGATTTTGTTAAAAACAACGTAAAAAATTACAAAATTAAATCAAAATTAATGTTATTTTGAATCTTGAATTGTAACTCTATTTAATGTTATTTGTGGCTTTTATTGGCAAAACTTTTGTACCTTTAATTATAAAAAAAAAACATACAAGATCATCAATGTCATTAAATTGACATAAAAAAATGTCAAATGTCAAAAAATAAACGTCAAATTTTTTTGACAGAATTATTTTAACATTTTTTCCATAATCCTGGTATCTTATCTTACTTGAAATTTTTCTCCGGGGCGCGAATTGTGACACTCCCTGTATGAATTGTATAGGAAATTTTCTGCCGATAACCCATGACATGAAACCCTCGATATTTGGATTCTTACATAAAAATAATTGGAAAAAACACTTTTTAGATTAGTTAATTTTGAATGAAATAAAATTGAATTTACATCCTTTTCCTATTTTTGTATTTTGATTTGTTGCAAATCGATGTGTGGGAACGTGACGTAACTCAAAATAAATATTTGTGAATACGTGACTGTTCTTGACCGTTTGTCCGTCAGTCTTTTTCCAGTCGTGAATCTGTCCACCGCTGAATTTTTTCCCAAAGTAGTGCGCAAACGTATCTAGAATTTGAATAGCGATAAGATTGATAAGGAATTGGCTTTCATCACGTAACGAAATCGATAGGTGCGTATTCCAAAAATCACATTTTCTCCAAAATATTAGAAAAAATGGGAGAAGAAGTGGCGAAGATTCCGAAACCGCAAATGCGGGGTTTGCTCCACTCCCAGATCAAACGCAATTTGATCCTGACTGGCATTACCTGCACTCTTGCTGGACTCTACATGAAATTTATTTTCGGGAATTCACGTAAAAACGCCTACGCCGAGTTTTACAAGTGAGTATTGATCGGAAAATTGTGCAATTTTCTAAATTTTTCATTTAGAAACTATGACATAAATAAGGAGTTTCACCGCATTCGGAGGAAGGGGCTGTTCGACTCGTGCGACCC